TGGAGAATATTTATTACGAGAAAATATGCAAGAATTTTTGTTCTTTCCTTCCTGGTATTGACTAATTAGTACTAATTAATGTTAATTTAGCCTACTCTACCAGCATAAAGTCTTATTTGTAAAATAGGAACGCAACCAAAAAAATTTAAGCAATACCTCATCTGACAGAGAATATCACGGGCTACAATATAGACTACCTTAAACATTTTCGAATTCGTCTTTGGTCGCTCGGTAAGTCTGGTAAGTCGAAAATTTAACAATATTGTTTAAGTAATTAATTTTAAGTAAGTGCAATCTTTTTCTTTACACTGTTCATGCACATGCTGGCTTGGAAAGCAAACTTCATTAACATTCCGAAAGGGTGTTAATTCATCTTTTGTTAAGCCGCTGGCAAACCAAGAGTATTTTACCATTGGAACAAAAATATCTGCACTTAACTGATTGTGCATAAGACTAACCAAGCGAATAATATTATTGCGTTCATGTAAATGGATGTCTAATTCGTCCAGAGCCACACGATGATAACATACTTTTAGAAGGTTTTTAATTTGTCTATTAAAATAACAGTCTAATGGTTGCAGGTCGGCAGTTGTGTTTTGCGGAATTTGCAAATGTGTCACGTGTTTCCCTTGCAGTTTTGAGGAAGGTAGATTTCCTCGCGACTTTGTCCTGGGTAGAGAGTAACAGACATTTAGCACCAATTAACGGCAAAAAACAATTATCTCGCCAGTATTCAACCATTTCCATTTCTATCAAGTCCATTTCTTCACCCTCCTTCTCGACAGCCATGGGATCCTCCTCTCCTTCGCTCTCTTCATCAGCAGTAAAATCACCAAATTCTAAAGTTGTCTTTTCGACATAATCGGCTCTTTGTCCACTTGCCATTAATTTAACTATATCAGCATGTTCGGCCATTTGTCGCTCTTGTCGTGTAATTGGAGACGGCTGTGTAACGGTTAAATTATTTGCAACTAAATCACTCAAAGCCGACACGATGTTCTGCGCACTCATTTTGTTGCAAGAAAAAAAGAATAAATAACGTATTGAAATGGACCGATGTTTCTCACATTTGAGTGAAAAATTCGTTTGAAACGTTATACAGCTTTGATACTTGGATAAGACTATTAATATTACACATATTTTTAAAGAATGCTATTCTTATCTAAACTATTCTTCCGTTCCGTTCTTGTACCTAACTCATGCATCTCACATACCTTGAAATTTCTTTTAACTGCTAACTACACATAGTTTTCCTTTCCTATTAAATGCCAGTAAAGTTGGAGTGTGTCATGTCTAACACATATACGCAGCGATATGAATTAAAGGCCTCCGATAAGTTGAAAAATAAGGCAAAAAAAGAGCAATTTTTGCACTATTTCTGCGTAAGAAAGACGGTTTTTCCCCTCTTTTTTTAACTTTTTGACGCAGAAAACTCGCTTAGAACCTCTCATGAAACGTTGAAAAATGGTTTTCTATAGGTTTCGCGACGTACTCTATACATTAGACAAATCAAAAAACTTTTTAGTACAAATGGTTTTTCGGCTTGAAAACCAAGATCTTCAAAAACCGGGCATTTTGGAGCAAAACGCTGGGTGCAAAAGTTGTTCAGAATCGAATTTTTGAGTCCCTGACTAGAGCTTCTTTTAAAGTTTTCTGTTTCTGACTTTTAAATTAAACTTTTATCAAAAACTATAAATCCGGGAACCGAAAGCTTTGTTGGGACATATACTCCGAAGTGTCCTCCACAAACTGCTGGAAAAAACGGATGGGGGATCCTCCCTTTAATGTGAGCACTGAAAATTGGCGATCTGTTCTTGGAAGAATCGATGTCTTGATCAGAGAATCAATGGCTATAGTTTTTACATTGCAATAATCTGGTCACTGCTCTGAGCAGACCACTGGATCACTCACTAGAGGGTCTATTTATCAGATAAGACCAAGCAGAAATATATATGTTCTTACTACAGTACAAGAACAGAATTTTTTATTTACTTCAGACATGTATACCATTCATATAAAATAAAGTTCACGTTCACCAGAACACTTGCGTTCACGGTCAAGGAATGAAACATAGAATATCGAATTTTTAGGAGCTAACAACAATAGGTAGATCGTGTTTCACATTTTTATCGTGCCAGACCTGCAGTGACCGCTTATTTCCAAGAAAATTGGTTTTAATCTGAATTTGAGCGATCTTTCTACATGGGGCAACGTAATCAACGATATCGACAGCAACAACAACAAGAGTATTTTACCATTGGAACAAAAATATCTGCACTTAACTGATTGTGCATAAGACTAACCAAGCGAATAATATTATTGCGTTCATGTAAATGGATGTCTAATTCGTCCAGAGCCACACGATGATAACATACTTTTAGAAGGTTTTTAATTTGTCTATTAAAATAACAGTCTAATGGTTGCAGGTCGGCAGTTGTGTTTTGCGGAATTTGCAAATGTGTCACGTGTTTCCCTTGCAGTTTTGAGGAAGGTAGATTTCCTCGCGACTTTGTCCTGGGTAGAGAGTAACAGACATTTAGCACCAATTAACGGCAAAAAACAATTATCTCGCCAGTATTCAACCATTTCCATTTCTATCAAGTCCATTTCTTCACCCTCCTTCTCGACAGCCATGGGATCCTCCTCTTCTTCGCTCTCTTCATCAGCAGTAAAATCACCAAAACCTAAAGTTGTCTTCTGCGCACTCATTTTGTTGCAAGAAAAAAAGAATGAATAACGTATTGAAATGGACCGATGTTTCTCACGTTTGGAAAAAGAACGTAAAGAAA